CCAGGATGGTCTCGATCTCCTGACCTCGTGATCCACCCGCCTCGGCCTCCCAAAGTGCTGGGATTACAGGCTTGAGCCACCGCGCCCGGCCGCACATTTCAATTCTTGATCTCTAAGACTCCTGGTATCCCAGAGAAAAGCAGTGGACTCCGTGTAGATCTTGCTGTCCTTGTGAATACATCATACAAGAGCAGTTCCCTCACGGCTCATTTTTTAAAATCTAAAATTGTATCATATATAAGATTATTACATTTCACTACTGAAAAGTAACCAATAGCTGAACTGGACCTATTTGGGAGAGATACTTGGGAAAAGGCTAATTTTTTCCCAAAACTCAACAAAGAAAGGTACAAAGCATGCTCACTGTTGGACCTCACTGGGCACCCTTGGAGACTTCCAGTAAGGAAAATATTTGAAGGTCTCCAGTCCCGCAGCAACATAAAAGTGATTGTCTTGCAAATCCTTTGAGTCGCCCAAAAGATGCCCATTCATTGTAAATAATCTGTAAAAACAGAAAGAAGAAATGGGATAGAGACTTGAGGACCAGTAGCAAGTATTTGTGCCTACACTACGACTAGTGCACAGACCGCTGGACAAACAGTGCTCATCATAAGCAAGTGTTATCCAAATGGGCCAATTAAACCCGACGGGAGCTGCTCTTCCAGGATTAGACTTGCTTTCCACTCTTAGATTTTTTAAATAAAGTATATTTTTAATTATATACAAGTGCTCAGAGGCTCTTGAGAACATGTTACACTCTTGGTTAGTGTTCAATTAATTTTAACTAATAACAGCTAAAATTAATACAAATTGGCCCATATTGTTAGAACAATACTTGGAAAACAAACCAGGATTTATTAGCAAATAATATGCATTTTTATAAGCACCAAAAGACTAATATTAGTCTCCTTTTTACTCAGTAATCCTTTTCGGCAGGTACTCCTTCACTAGTTTATTTAGAAATGATTCCATTAATTCAATGCTGAGCCTCCATATGCATAAGACGATGAGGCAGGCAATGCATTGATAAAAATAAGCATAAGAAAGTCTCTGCCTCCCCAAAGTCATATGAAACCATAAAACAGAAGCACGCAAAAGCCCACAAAGCTAAATATGACAAGAGAAGTGCAAACGGTTGGGGTCCAAGAGGAGAAAGGCTGAGCCCAGTTGCAGGCTTCACAGAGCTGGAGGAATTTGCAATGGGGTCGGGAGGGTAAGTGGGATTTCATCACTACAGACGGGATGAAGCCATCTTGGCAGGAGGGTGCTGTGCACAAAGTCAGAAGCCAGGGCGGGGAGGGGAGCTGACAGTCACTGAGGGTGAGGTGCAGGCACAGCCGTGAATGCGCAGGACAGGGGCGGTTTCCAAAGGGCCTTGAATTCCGGGGAGGAGCATTTATCATTAATTGCAACGGAATGAAGATTTCCAAGGAAGAGGGGATAAGGGCTATGTTTTAGCACTAGTGAGCGGGCAGCTGTGGCCAGGACATGACTGAGGAAGAACTGCCCCTGTGGGAGGAGGCTCAGAGCTTCTGCAAGAGCCTGAGATGAAGGAATGAATCAGGGCAGGAAATGCAGGAGCAGAACAAGAGAAGAAATGCAGGGGGCATGGAAAGGAGGAATCTACAGAACCTATCCCTCCGCAGAGCTGGGCGTCAGAGCTGCCCAGAAGGCTAGCTTCAGAGTGCTGGGCCCCACCGCAGAGCTCCCAGCTCAGGAGGCCTGGATAAGGCCTGTGTGTGGCATTTCTAACAAGCTCCTGGCTGACACACTGCTGATGTTCCTGGACCCCATCCCGAGAGCCGCTGCCTGAGACTGACCCTAGAGGCATCAAGACGGGAACCTGGGAGAGGCATGGCGGAGCTGCACCTGGGGGCCCGCCTGGAACAGAGGCTTCCATGATAAACCCAATGCTTGGAATTCTGTTCTCCTCCCGCCGGGACCTGGGGACAGTCAGTCCTCTCTGGTGGACTTGAACAGCCAGTGCCAGAATCCCCAGGAGTAAATCAGGAACATGCAGAAGCCTCACCAGGGAAGTGGGGGACTGACGGTGGTCCTAAGGAGAGGGTGTCCCCAAAGCGACTGCTCCCGGGGGCCAAACAGCAAGGCTCTGAAGGGTGGGAACAGACGAACCAAGAATTTACACACAAATATGCAAAATGACATCAAACAGATGGCAGATATTCCCAGCATGAAACAAGAATATGAAACCATAACACAGAAGCAAGTAGAAATACTGATGTGAAACTCAAGTCGTGGAAAGAAAGATCACAATAGGGGTGAATCGTAGAATGGACATGGAGGAGGTGCAAGCTGCTGTTTGGAGGTAAAACTGAGGAACGCCCTTAGAGGAAAGGAGGGAGGAAGAAAGAAACAGGATCCGCAAAAGAAGAGCTAAGAAATGAGGGTGAGCAGACGTGCCAACACCAGCGATAAGAATCCCAAAAGGAAGTTACAGTAAGAGTGGAAGGAGAAAATATGTATAGAAATCATGAAAACTAATTTCCCGGAATTGAGGAAAGAGGACAAGCCACAGGTAAAAGAGTCCACGGATGTCAAAGAACAGAAACTACAGGAAAACTCGCCGGCAGACACCTGGGTGTGACACCCAAGGTCACAGACGGCATCCTCAAGGCGCTGGGGAGGAAGACCTGGCCGCACCGCCTAGCAGGACAGGACTGACTGAGGCCTTTTGGCAGCAACACAGACAGGAAAGACGCTGATATTTTCAAAATCTAGAAGGAAAGAACACTAAAGCCAGCCAGACCCTCAGGTAAACACAAGGGACGAGATAAAAATGTCCTCAGGCTTACAAGGCCTCAGGACATTTGCCACACAGACCCATGCCAAGAACATTTTTAGAGGACGTGGTTAAACAAGAGGGACAGCGAATCCAGGAGTTGCTATGAGAATGGTGTGAAGTAAAGGTGACCAAATATAAGGACCAATTTGCTTTGTATTTTTTTAAAAAGCTAAGATCAAAGAAAACATATTCATCATAACCCAAACTTCAAATTCTCAATCACAGCCATGAGATAGGGGCTGTTGAGGGGAGCCAAGGGACATAAAATTGTGCTTATGTTCTTGGCTAGGGACGAGGAAGACACAGAAATCAATCAGCTCAGAATCTCCAAGGCTTGGCAACTGGCAGATGAGGGAGAAGATGTGTGCAGTGTCCAGTGTGGGTCCAGGGATTCTGGGTGCCCAGCAGAATGATGGAGCCGGGAACAGGCAGAGGAAGGCAAGGAGTGGGGCTGATGGCTTGGGGTGGAGGCGGATAGAGGAGAAAATGAGCTGTCAGCAACTGGGTAACGGTAAAAAATGCACCTGAAAAAACTCAACTGGAATGTCTCCGCATAAACCAAAGGCATTTCAGGTTTTCCTTCCAGCAGCAGGGGCCTTGCAGGAATGAAGCTGGTTGTTTTTGTTTGTTTGTTTGTTTGTTTGTTTTTGAGACAGAGTCTCGCTCTCTCCCACAGGCTGGAATATAGGGGCACCATCTCGGCTCACTGCAAGCTCCGCCTCCCGGGTTCATGCCATTCTCCTGCCTCAGCCTCCCGAGTAGCTGGGACTACAGGCGCCCGCCACCACGCCCAGCTAATTTTTTTTGTGTATTTTTAGTAGAGACGGGGTTTCACCGTGTTAGCCAGGATGGTCTCGATCTCCTGACCTCGTGATCCGCCCGCTTCGGCCTCCCAAAGTGCTGGGATTACAGGCATGAGCCACCGCGCCCGGCCGAGGCTGGTTGTTTTTACGTTCATTTGTTTGCTTCTAGGAAGTTGTGTTCTTTTCATTCAGGGATGGAACCATAGATACCAAAGAAGAGGACTCTGGGTGGCTCAATGCAAGACTTGGGAGGTGCCCGCTGAGTAAGACAGAGCCATGGCCACCAAACTGTGGTTTAAACCCTACAGGGCCAGCAGGACATCTGGCCGCCCACACACTGGAGGAACAAACGGTTCAGGCATGTTCCCCTCGGACTCTTCCCTAAACTCATCTCGGCCTCATTTTCTTCTAAGAGAGGTACAAAGTCTACTCACAGGGTGAAGGGTAAGTAGAAATTCCTCAGTGGGATAAGACAGGAAGGAAGTTCCAGATAGAAAATGACACATCCATCCATGTGAAAATGTGAGCCTGTATGTGATGTTCAGATTACACCTACACAGACATACAAATGTGAGCTGGGACGTCACATACAGAGAACGGCGGTTTTTACTAAAGTGTGAGTCTCACAGAAATGAACAGTAAGAATGTGGATATCAAATGAGATCATGCACATAAATCAAAGTGTTTTGCATCATAAAATGCTAAACACTAGGTATTTCGATCATTACTTGTATCAGAAAAACTGAGGACTAAATGAAACAGCCATTTGCAAAATTGTTTTGTAAATTGGAAAACATTACAAAAATGTCTATTAAATGATTTTTAATGAACCTTAAAGATTGGGGATATAGTAGAAAATGTAAATATCTCTAAATCCTTTACCAATAAACAGCCAATTTGGCTGTTTTCCCAAAATAAAGGTACAGTCTATCTCACAGGAATTTTAAAATATTTATGTTTAATGAACTTCCTTTTCAAGACCATGTAGTGATTAAAAGATAGACCTGATTTTCAGCTAAGGCTTCAAAATCTCTGGAAGCAGGGTCTCACTGGGCACCCTGAACCCTGGACTCCCAGTCCCTGGGTCTCAGCTGTTAGTTCAGCTAGTTTCCCCACTATTAAGGGACTAAAAAAAAAGATATTTATCAGACAGGGTCCCAAACTTTAAGGAGCTTAAAATACAGTGGATAAGAGATGACAAGTCCACAAATAACCACAGTCCAAGGTTGATGGGCTATTTATCAGGAAGCTGAACCCAGGACTCAATCTTCAGGTCTCTCCTCCAACACTAACTCCATCCCACCCAGCACCTCAACCGCCAATACCATCCACAACACTCAGACCGTGCGTCCGTTTCTCCAGCCCGACCTCTTCCCTGACTTCACACTCACATATCCAGCCTGGCACATCCCCACTCTGACGTCCAATATGCCTCGCCAACTGGACACATCCAAAAATTCATTCTGAACTCCCCCAAAACCTGTTCCTCCTCCCACTTCCCCTTCTCAGGAATGGTACCGACAGTCACTCAGCTGCTCTGATCAGAAGGCTGGTAGTCTTCCTCCTTTCTCCCTCCTCTCCCCTCCCGCGTTGCCTCCCCCACCACACACTCCCCACCCCCACCCCACCCCCACCCCCACCTCTCACTCACTCTTCCTGCATGAGGTTGATCAGCAAGCCCCATCACCTACAGTAACGCAGCCAGAACCTGCCTGCCTTGGCCCCAGCCACTGTGGTCTCCCCGGGATCACCTGCAGGAGCCTCTAAACAAGTCTCCCATCCCACCCCGTAGTCAGGTGACGACACTCCCTGCTCAGAACCCGCCAATGGATTCCCACCACACTCACTGCCCAAGCCTCTCAGCGAGGTCTACAAGCCAGTCTTCACTCCCGGACT